CTGGAGAGGGTGTGGAGAAAAGGGAAACCCTCCTACACTACTGGTGGGAAAGTAAATTGGTACAACTACTATAGAGAATAACATGGAGGTTTTTTTAAAAATTAAAAATAGAACTACCATACGACCCAGAAATCTCACTTCAGTCATATATCGGGAGAAAAGCATAATTCAAATTGATACACGCACCCCAGTATTTATTGCAGCACTATTTACAATAGCCAAGACATGGAAGGAACCTAAATGTCCATCAACAGAGGAATGGATAAAGACATGGTACATATTTACAATGGGATATTAATCATCAAAAGGAATAAAGCAGTGCCATTTGCAGAGATGTGAAGAGACCTAGAGACTGTCATATAGAATGAAGTAAGCTGGAAAGAGAAAAATACATATCGTGTAATATCACTTATATGTGGAATCTAGGAAAATGGTACAGACGAACTTATTTGTGAAGCGGAAATAGGGACACAGATGTAGAGAACAACCTTATGGATATCAGCAGGGGAAAGGGCGGTGGGATGAGTTGGGAGATTGGGGCTGGGATTGACATACGCGCATCACTATGTATAAAATGAGAATCTACTGTGTAGCACAGGTCAGTGTTCTGTGGTGATCTGTATGGGAAGGAAATCTAAAAAAGCGGGGGATATGTGTATACATATAGATGATTCACTTTGCAGAAACACAATATTGTAAAGCAACTATGTGTGCATGTGTGCTAAGTTGCTTCAGTTGTATCCAACTCTTTCCAATGCTATGGACTGTAGTCCACCAGGCTCCTCTGTCCAGGGGATTCTCTAGGAAATAATACTGGAGTGGGTTGCCATGCCCTCCTCCAGGGGATCTTCCCAACCCAGGGATCAAACCCATGTCTCTTATGTGTCCTGGATTGGCAGGAAGGTTCTTTACAATCACACCACTTGTGATGTCCAAAGCAACTATACTTCAATAAAAGTTTTAAAAAAATACACACTGATATAAAAATGTACCTAGAATATTTTTTATATGGAAAACTAAATTGCAAAATTGTGTGTTTGTATACAGATCACCCTTAAAGAACATAAATTTGAACAGTGAAATACTTACACACATGTTTTTTTTCAATAGTAAATACTGTGGTACTATACAGTTTGTGGTTGGTTTAACCCACAACTGCAGAACAGCAGATATGGAAGAACCATGGATATGAGGGCCTTCTATAAGTTTTATGCAGATTTTCAATTGCTTGCTAAAACTTTTGAGTTCAGTGGAACAAAAGGACATGGTTTATTTAAATATGTAAAATTAAAGCTGCCTTTGACCCGAATACTTTTCTCTTTTGCCTTCTCAGTTAGTAAGGGGAAACTTTTTTAAGCCAGAACATTTCTCCACTGTGTAGCAATCTGAACCTATTTTTCAAAACCTCATTAGTGTTTCACAAATGTTATAAAATTAAGTCACAGAGAAAAATGTTTTGCAACAGTTTTTATTAGAAGTAAGGACACATATATAAGTTATAATTGTACTCAGTTGTCAGTTGTGTCTGATTCTTTGCGACCCCATGGACTGTAGCCCATCAGGCTCCTCGGTCCATGGAATTTTCCAGACAAGAGCACTGTAGTGGGTTGCCATTTTCCACTCCAGGGGATCTTCTTCCTAACCCAGGGATCAAACTTGTGTCTCTTATGTCTCCAGTATTGGCAGGTGGATTCTTTACCACTAGCGCCACCTGGGAAGCCCTGTAAATTATAATTGCATTTCTATAAATAAACATATACATCTCTGGGAATGGAATTATGAAGCCTTTACTTTCTAAGATGTACATTTTTATAATATTTGAAAAATTACTATCTTTATATTATTTTTATGGCCTGTTGTAATTTTGTAATAAGAAAAAAAAGTCACTTAGAAGCAAAATCATTGGGTCTCTTAGGAAGGCAGCCATATCAGATACTTTTCTGAAGTGAGAATATCAGAAAACAGAGTGGACTAAGCAAATCCTGATTTTCAAAGAGGAAAATGACTATCAAAATGCACACACACAAATACGCACATGCACAAACACACATACACACTTAGGACATTACCAAATCCCAAGTAGTCCAGGGTTAATTTTCCCATTTGGAAAAAATCCAGGCCCTTTGCTTTCTTTATTATTTCTCAACTGAATATTCATCTTTACTAAAATTTCTAAATAAACTTGGTCAAAGGGAAAGGAAATGAGAACTAGAGTTTCATTGTTTCTTGTGCACTGGATTGAAAAGACTTTCCTTATTTCCCAATGATACTCTCCAAAAGGGACCAGTGTTCATTCCTGGGCAAACTTCCAGGAATTTTCTATCTATTTAAAAACATAATTTTACATTAGGGGAAAAAAAATCTCTAAATGCCATGTGATTCAAAGTTCTTGCTTCTAAGTGAAAACTGTTGAAATAAAACTTCCTCTATGACTTTTATAGCATTTATGAAACATAAGTGAGGATTTGAAAAAATAGGGTTAGATTGCTAAACAGTGGAGAAATATTCTGGGCTTAATAGCTCCCCCCTTGAAATAAGAATGTATAAGACAAAAGATTTTGGGTCAAAGAATCCTTAAATTTTATGTATTTAAATAAATTATGTTCATTGTTTCACTAAACCCAAAAGCTTTAACAGGCAATCTTTCTTGATCAGAACATACAAATCAAAACTCTGAGTCATTATACTTCTTCTGATGCTGAAACAGTGAGACTAAGTCAGCTAAGAAGTGAAGTGTTCTTGCTTCCTGAAGATGTATAAACTGCTTTAGCTCACATCTATTTGTTAACAATTCTACACCTTTCTATTTTGTAATTCGTTTGATGGAATAAGACATAGTTTTAAAATCTATCTTATACTAAAGTAAAGAATTTCTCTAAACAAATTTCTTTAAGTGTTGGAACTAGTGTTGCTTCAGATTATTAATAATTAGTCTTACTAGAACTTCAGCAGGTTTCTTCCAGAGTAAGTGATATCCTTGCAAATTTGTTTTCTTTCTTTGCTTAAAAATATGTTTCATGTTTTAAGGACTAGGCAAGGAAAGTGGATTTCCTTAGCATTTTTTTTATGTATAAGGATATGACAAGCCTTACTAGTATCTAAGATGTTGAGGTAGCATAGCGAAGTGGCATATCTTATATAGAATATTGACATTCAAGTCTCATCTGTGTTGGAATCACTGTTCTACCACTTGCTGAGGGCCCCAGGGGAAACTGCTAAACTTCTGAATTTCATCTGTAAAAGGGGGGTTAGTAAAATCCACATCATTGGGCAGCTACAAATATTAAATAAGATGACAGTATAAACTGAGTAACGTTATATTCTGCAGAGTAAGCACTCAATAAACCATAACAATTACTATCATATATTTTTAAGGTTGAAAAATTCTTAAACTAGTTCTATAATCTCTTGATAACTTCTAAAAGAATAGAATATGTCAAAAATCATTATAAATTTCTATTCGGATTATTAGATTTCAAACTCATCCAAATAACTTACCCCAAATTAATAGGTAGTTGCTATTTTGCCACAGTGTTTTAAAACTGGGAAGAAGTTGACCATATGACACAAAAAGACAACCTCCCATATTTATAGCGCTTATGAATTATAAGACTATGTATATAATACATGATACTTATGAATATGTACTATATGATAAAATTATATAGATATCCTATATAAATGTAATAATATGATATTACCTCTTTTGCCTACCTTGTTTTCTTATTGTAAGTATCAAATGAAATAATAGATGTAAACTATGTAAAATATCAAGCACCACCACACAAAGACAAAGCATCTTTGTATCAGTATTACATCTAGCTCTATTACCTTTAGCAACCAGTTATTGGAGAAGGAAATGGCAACCCACTCCAGTCCTCTTGCCTGGAAGATCCCATGGGTGGAGGAGCCCGGTATGCTACGGCCCATGGGGTCTCAAAGAGTCAGACACGACTGAGGAACTTCACTTTCACTTTTCACTTTCATGCACTGGAGAAGGAAATGGAAACCCACTCCAGTGTTCTTGCCTGGAGAATCCCAGGAACGGAGGGGCCTGGTGGGCTGCCGTCTATGGGGTCGCACAGTCGAACACGACTGAAGTGACTTAACAGCAGCAGCAGCACTGTGCATTTATTATGTATACTGTTCTAAATACTTTAAATAAAGTCTTATTAAATCTTCACAGCATCTTTATAAGGTATTTATCTCCATTTTACAGGTGAAGATACAAAGGTACAGAGAACAGAATTATTAAAGATTTGATTCCAGAATTCTGATTTCAAAGCCTATATTCTTAATTACTGGACTACCCTGCTTCTTTTGATCATGTAAGTGGGCTAAAAAATAAAACATAAAACACATGCAAAATTAAACCTAGAATTCTAGCTTGCTATTTCAGTAGTTTTTCTAGGCTATCAAATTATATGTTATCAAGTTATTTGAAAATAATTTTGTGTTCTGAAAGTAATTCTTGAGCTGATATGTATAACTATTATTCTCACTTTTCCAAAGTATGTTTTATGCTGAAAAACTACCAAACAGAAGTTTCTACATTTTATCTAATTCTCTATATGTTGCTGTAGAGAAAAAAAAAATGTATTGGTAAGATGGTTGGTCTGAAAATAAAAAAGTCCTGTGATACCTACTTCTCAAATTATTATATTTAATGTAAGCTGAGGGATTAACAGGAGAATATTTCTGTCATGAACCTTACATACATTTAGATAGACTATGGCTTCAGGAACACCTGTTCATTCAAATTTGAAAAAAAAAATCTTCAAACGCTAGCTGCAGACTTAGGAAAAAGCTTATTTTGCTGCATGAAATATAGCATAGACAGAAAACAGCAAGTTAACAATGGAAAAGCAACAAAAGCTATAAACTCCATCTTTGCCTGTGTGCTTATGTTCCAACAACAGCATATATCAAAATTAAACCCAACTTAATTTTTTCAAAGTTATGTTAAATACATGAAAAAAGCCATAAATTATAGACTTTACCTCCTTCTCTTTGAACAATATGATAGAGATGAACACTGTGTAGAATACAATCTAGATCATGGTCTGTATAGCCTTTATCATGCATGTCATCCACTGAATCTGGATAAATTACTTGATCTCGAAGACTTCCAAGAGACATGTATGGCCTGTAAAACACAAGAATCCAAGACAACATCAGTTTAGTTTACTTATTGTGACATCCTAGTAGCCTGAAAACTCTAGAGGAGACTTTAAATACTCTATTTCTAGGGTTTTATTTATTACCTGGTGATAAGTATTTCTTTCTCAGATGTGGCAGGATAATATGCTGTTATATTCATGTAAAAAAACATTGAGACATGCCACAAGAAAAGTTTCTATAAGAAATACCTGGATATTTTCAGCACAGAAATACATACTTGTTCTGTTAGTTTTTTTTTTTTTTTTTAAGTTTTATACTCTGAATTTAACTCTTCAAAATACTTTGAAAAGGCAAGTCCTTTCCAAGAGGACAAGGATTCTGTTTAGGGGATCTGATTCAATCAGTGAAAAACTTGAGTAACAGTTGCCCAGAACATTTTGATTATTCCATCCAAAAAAGATTTACGTCTATATCATATAAAGACATATCTGTAGGATAATACTATAAAATATATTATTATTATATATTATTATCATTTGCCACTTTAGTTACTTTTTAATTGAAGGATAATTGCTTTACAAAGTTTTGTTATTTTCTGTCAAACATCAACAAGAATCAGCCATAGGTACACCCATAACTCCTCCTCCCTAACCTCCCCCCCATCTCCCTCCCCATCCCACCCTTCTAGATGGTCACAGAGCCCCAGTTTGAGCTCCCTGAGTCATAGAGCAAATTCCCATTGGCTATCTATTTTACATTTGGTACTGTAAGTTTCCATGTGTTCTGTTATATTTTATAAATGTTGCTCCTGTATTTCATCTAAAACTATTTGGGTTAAAATTTATAAAATTTGAGGCTTTGACAATATGAACAAACAAAACTTTTTAAAGGTATCATTCAAAATAAGAGAAATGCAAACTAACAATATACTTAGTTTCTTACTTATCAGATTGGTAGAACTTCAAAAACTTGACAATTCACTCAATTGGCAAGTCTATGGAGAGACAGATTGTAAGACTTTCTTACAATCATGAAAATGAAAAATGGTATAACCCTTTGGAGAGGATTTGGCAAACCAATATATCATCTGGTGTTTGATCCACTTCTAGGACTTTATTCTAAAAATATACTTTCAAAAGTGTACCACCACCAACAAAAAAAGTATGTAAAGTTATCCATTACAGCATTATTTGAAATTGCAAAATATTGAGAAAACCTAAATGCACATACAAAGGAGACTGATTAAATAACAATAGTACCTGTACCACACAGCTATAAAACCAGATGTGGAAGATCTCTATGAATTGATATAGAGTGATTTCTATAATATATCAAGTTGAAAAGCAAAGTACAAAGTAGATGTATAGCAGAATTTCTCAACAGTGATATTATGGATATGTTAAACCAGATAATTCTTTGTTACTGAGGTACATTTTGCATATTATAGGATGTTTAACAGCACATTTGGTCTCTACCCACTAGATGACTAGATGTTAGTGGCATCCACTGTGGCAGAGATTTTTTTTTTTAAAGTTTTCAAATATTATCCTCCAGGAGACAAAACCATCTCCATTTGAGAGACCCACCAATGTGCAATATACTACTTTCATGTAAAATGAAAGCAACATAAATTTATCTGCTGATACTTACAAAAGGAAATACAGTAAACCAGAAACTAATGAAATCACTTATCTATAGGGGAAGGGAGGAACAAAGCAGAATAGATAGGGAAGGGAGAGACCTCTCTAAATATCCTATGTATTTTTACTCTTAGACTCATGTTAAATGTTATTATTTTAATTAACTAATATAGATGAAGGAAGAAACCCTAAAATTGAATACAAACTGTAAGTATATCAAATGAATAACATAACCACATTGAATGATGATTCAATGTGGTCTCAGAGAGACTGATCCAAGTAACTTTCAAATTTGGCTACATAATTTCAGTTGAAAACCAAAAAAACCACAAAGCAACTTTGAAACTAACTGTTTCTGTTTCTTATTGCTGCAGGTGTAACAATTCTGAAACTATGTTGTAGGAAAGACCAAGTAAGTAAATTTTAATAAAATCACAAGGTAGGGTTCTCACTGTGGAAGAAGGAAGATATAAATATGAAATGTGGGAGGAAAATTTTTTAAAAAACTGTAGTGTTTAATTTGATTTAGAGTATCACCATGAATTCATATTTTTTAAACAAAAATATCATGAAGAAACTATCTGATTAACTCAAACTGTGGGACTTTTTGAATAACCAACAATAGTTCTGCACTCATTCACAAATATCAGTGTCATAAAAAAAATGCTGAGGAATTCATTCAGGTTTAAAGAAACTAGAGCAACATGGCAACTAAAATGCAATGTATGATGCTTGACTGAGAAAAATAAGTTATTATAAAGAATAATACTGTATCGATTGGCAACATTTCAGCGTAGAAAGTTGTTGGAGGTTATCAAGAGGACTTCACTGTCAATTGTCCAATGAGTTGGACTCAGGCAACCTGATGCTCCTGACCCTCTCCCTGGCCTATGTTCAATCCACAGTTCCCACAGCCACCAAGAATTTTAAAAGGAGACCGTCTGAGAGAGCAATGTAGTATTGAGACCATCTGGATGGTACACACGACTGAATTCCATTAAAGTCTCTGTATAAATTTTTAAGATTTTGATAGATGGAATTAGAGATCTACTCATCTTGAGGCTGTCCATCACAAGCCTCAAATGTAACTTCCCTTGCTTATTAAACCTGCCACCCAGCAGTCTAGAGTGGTCTGCCTTTCCCTGGTCTCTTCTTGTCCTCTGTGTATCAGGGACAGTACGAAAACCAATAAAAGTATGTTTAGGTAATATTATATCAGCTTTTAAAAATATATAAATTTTTATAGGAAATATTACAGTACTTCATTGTCTGTAGTTAAATAACTATAAATTATACACGGATTTTCAAATGCTCGGGGGGTCAGCTCCTCTAACTTCTGTATTGCTCAAGGGTCAACTGCATACACTAAAGAAGTTATGCGTGAAGATTTATTTACAGGAACTTACTTAAGATAATAATAAGGTGTGTATGCATGTATGTGTACAAAGAAAGAGGGAAAGAATGAAAGATTTTAGTGTACAAAGAGAGAGAATTAAAGGTTTGAAATACAAAATGTGTTTTGTAGATCAATTATCTACCTATATTCCTATACTATTAAAATGACTTAGTTGAAGGATAGATACCATGAGGTTATAACAGATTTAACTAATATTTGAAAATAAAAATAATTTATATTTCAATTATACATGTATGCATTCATATAATAAGATTCTCAATGGAGTCTTTGTAATACAAGGAATCGCTAATCATATTTTTTAAATTGAGATATAATTCACATTACAAAATTTGTACTGTTAAAGTATAAAATTCAATGATTTTTAGTATATTTACAAGCTCATGTAAATTTTACCACTATCTAAGTCTAGAACATTTCCTTTATCCCAAAAAGAAACTCAGCAGATACTCCTGGTTCTTCCTTCTTCCCTGGCAATCACTAATCTACTTTCTGTCTCTGTGGATTTGTTTATTCTGGAGATTTCATATGTATGGAATCATACAATACGTAGTCTTCTCTCTCTCAACATAAAGTCTTCAGGTTATTCCATGTTGTAGCAGAAAGCAGAATTTCATTCTTTTCTATGTCTGAATTAAATTCCACTGTATAGATACACTACAACTTGTTAATCTGGATATTTCAGTTGTTTTCACTCCTTGGCTATTATGAACAGTAGGCATACAACTTGGAGTGGTACCTATGCTAACTTTGTTTAATTTTTGAGGAACTGATCAATTGTCATTCCCAAGTAGCTGCATCATTTCTAGTCACTTTTTTTCTACCTCGGCTTACCCAGTCCAGTATTCTGGTCTGGAGAATTCCATGGACAGAGGAGACTGGCAGGCTACAGTCCATGGGGTCGCAAAGATTTAGACACAACTGAGTGACTAACATTTTCACTTTTTGTATTCCCTATGTCTTCTCTTTCTGGTCTCTGCTTTATCTTCCCTCTCCAGTTTAATCATATTAAAAAAAAACAACAAAAACAGAATTAGGACACAATGTTACTTATTTCCATCATTTTAAGCATTTATATAATGTGATATTTTCTCATAATAACAACAGTAGCATAAAATATACAGTGGCCCTCAGGGCCAGGGAACAATTTTTTAGTTGGTACCCTGAGACTAAGAAGAAATACAAGGAAATATTAAGAGTCAGTACTTTTACTAACTTACAAAGCAATGTCTGTTTCAATTTAATGTAAATCAGAGGCACAGATATCCTCAGTATAAAACCCAAATAAATTCAACCCACAGAACAGCCATGAAAATACATAACTGAGACTACAATGATTAAAATATATCTGAACATTCCTTTCAAAGGTTTTTCTACAGGATTCCACTGTAAGATCTGATTAACTAGCAATCGATGAAATGCCATTTTATATCTACATTTCAGGGAAGACAGTATAGAGATATGGATGTGATAATGGGTTTTGGAGAAAGAGTTCTGGACTAGAATCCTGATCTGGCCATTTACTAGCAATGTGACCCAAATCCTGAGCTACAGTTACCTCATTTGTAAAGTAACTTACTTATTGAATTTGTTATGAGGATAAAATGAAGGAGTGGGTTTTTGTAAAGCAATATAGCCAGAGGACAGACAGTGAAAAACTGCCTGCAATGCAGAAGACCCGGATTTGATCCTTAGGTCAGGAAGACCCCCTGGAGAAAGGAATGGCTACCTACTCCAGTATTTTTGTCTGGAGAATTCCATGGACAGAGGAGCCTAGCAGGCTACAGTATATTGGTGCAATGCTACAAAGAGTTGGACAGGATTGGGTGATTAACACTTTCACATGGAGCAACTTAGTACAGTATGACAGACACATAGTAGGCATTCAATAAACCATTATGGAGACCAAAAAAAGTTCATTAAGAAGGCAATATTTTAAAAAAGAACTTAAGTTTGTTTTCTGTGTCTGAG